TGCTGCCTCTGAGGCAGGAGTAGTGAGTCCTTCAGCCTTCACAGCACAGCAGCTCCCATCTGCAAACACAGCTTCGCCTGTGGGAGCTCACTCCCTTTCTGCATGGTCTCCCTGCCCCTCCAGACTCCTGGCTTCTCCAGCATACGCCATTTTCCTCTCATTATAAAATATCTGTGGCTGAGCTTATCTGGGAGGTACAGTCGGTACAAAATGGCCATTCATCCAGCCCCCAGGCAGAGATGCGAATACATTAGATTCTGCGTGCAGCACACCGGGACTGTGCACTTTAATATATGGCCAACACAAAACATTGGAACATTGGTCCTATGGAAAAGTCCCAGATCAGTAGTTTATGAGCTCAAAGCCCGTCTGGCTGAAGGACCAGCTGCACAGCCTGCTGCGAGCTCTCACAGAGCTGCCTGTGTGCAGACGTGACTCTGGTTAGCGCAGCACAAAGCCCAGCTGCTCTGCAAGGAGTCCGTGTATTTTTTGGGCCACGTCCCCTGTTGTGGCAGTCAGCTGAGAGTGTGGGCAGAGCCAGTCTGCATTTACCTTGCAGTTATTCAGAACACCTGTGGCCTGCCATACAATAGGTCTGGGAGTAAAACAAAGGTGTTATCTCAGCATCCAGAGACTATCAAGGGCTGCCCCAAACAAAAAATCTGTGAAACATAGATGTGGCACTTTCGGAACATGGTTTAGTGGTGGAATTGACAGTGTTAGGTCGATGGTTGGACTTGATGATCTTAAGGGCCTTTTCCAACCTAAATGATTCTATGATTCTGTGAAGCTTTTCGTTTTGCAGATCTGATCTTCAAAAGCACCAGGCAAAACCTACTCTCCTGCTGCTCAGTCCACACTTGGAGTTCTCAGCAGCCCTTTTCAGATGGCTTACATGGGAAACCTGTGCCCAATAACCTCAGGAAAAATAAGTATCCAAGTGCTCTCCTAGGTAAAACCATCACTGCCAGAGTACCCAGTCCCACCTCTTGTTGAGAAGAGAAATTTTCTCCATGTGACCTCAAAAGATCTTGCAGGTCACCAGAGTGGCCCCACTCACATTGCTGTGGAGTCCCAGCCTGGCATCACCCCATCTGCACTGCAGTGAGGCCAACTTAGGATTCAAGAGAGGAACCTCCCACTCTTTTTTAAAAGCAGAGCTGGTATTAAATGAAATTATCATAAGTAATATTTCAGCATTTAACTCTTCAAACAATCAAGCTCTTCCCATAGGATCATTTCACTGAATAGAGCAGAAGGAGGTAATGCCAGGTAGGACATGGAAATATCTGAAAAAGATGCTAGGAGTGAAACTAGTGTTCTGCAGGCATGGCAACGGTCAGTTGGGTGCAAATTTTGGAAACTGGGGGTAGGGAGATTGAAGGAACTCTGGTTTAATTCCCTGGATTTAAATCAAGGAGGAGTCAGGAAACTACTAGCTGGATTGGATCAGGTCTACTTTACCTTCCAAATGTCTCTGGAGACAACATCCTCCAACTCCAGGAGATGTTTCTGCTGGGCACAGTTACTAAGGCCCATCAGAAACTGCAGTGGACAATTCCTGGTGCTCTTCATAAAGCCAAATATACCTGTACAAGTGCAGGTTTTCATTCAGGGTACTCACGGCATCACTTGGGGCATTTGAGCCTCAGCATTATATAGAACAAATTTGTTTCTATATCACTGCTTACAGTGCATTCCAAGAGCACAAGTTCAGTAGCAGCATAATTGATTTATTCTAATTATAAATCCTATAGAAAGTTTCCAGCTTGCAAGAGTCACAGTTTTCCTCTCAGTGGAGCCAATAAAAGTTAAGAGTTGCTCCCTGATTACTGTCATTACAACAATAAAAAGCCAGAGTAATTGAAAAGTGAATCAGGGAAACTGCCAGATTGGAGAGCAACGATAATAAAAATTACCTTGGAGCCCAAACCCAATGCAAAGTCTTGTCTCTGGCTGCACTGAGCTTGAGTCCATTCTGGACAAACTCCTGTGCTGATATGTATCTAAAAGAGGACATCCTGCATGATCCTACCCTGCATGAAAGTACCAGAGCATAGAGCAGAGCAGGAGCAGTGACCATATGCTTGCCAACAGGCCAAACGCTCAGTACATGAGCCAACAAGGGTGATTTTGAACCCCATATGAGATGGTTCTTCTTACTAGAAGTCAAAATGACAATGGAACAATAAAAAAATAATTTCTCCCTCTATTAGCATAAAGCTTAAAAACAAGAGCTGGAAATTCAGCAACAGATGCATATTTGTCGAGAACAATTATTTCCCACTAGATAGATTAACTGGTACAGGAAGATCCCCAAACCCACAAGTCATTACTGATTCCCCATTGTGAAGATCAGACAATTACCATAGTTGTGTTTGTAATCCAGGTAGCTTGAAGCAAACTAACATGTAACATTGCAGAAGACTCTGCAAAAGCTTGTTAGTGGCAATGCTGGTATAGAGGGAGACGAGCAAAGACGAGGGAAGGAGCAGCATATGTTAACATAGGTAACGGTGTGTCACAAGGTGAATTTTCACACCTGTAGCTCTGGAGGCAGACATGAAGGAGCAGGGGGCTGATCCGGAGATGCTGTTCTTCCAACACACTCATCTTGGGACATAGTGAGGCAGATCCTGAAGCTGTCAATTGTCTTCTGCTCTCTACAAAGACATGATGCATGCACTATATCAGAGATCCCTCGTCCTAAGCTACCCTGCCCATGTAAAGTCTGTGAGCACTTCCAGTAAGTCTTCAGGAGGCTCACACATCCCTGCAGTTATCCTCGAAAAAGGATGCAAGTAAAGAGCAGGTCTCAGAGATGACTGGTGATGAGTAAACACAGGATTTGGACAGCTTCTAGGAAGACTGTTCCCTGAAGGGGGAAAAAACGAACCCATAAACTACAGAAAAATATTTGTATTGGCCTCAGAGAACTGTCACTGCGCCAAGAACAGGAAGAAAACTCCAGCACATAGAACATCACACCCTGATGAGATGCACGTGCAGAGGGGCTGCTCCTGTTGGTATGAAGGGACCACAAGGATGAAGTTATAGGTTTGGCATGTGGGTGGGCTCAGGAGGTTGCTAGGGCTCAAGTTCAAGCTTGACTTTCCCCAAGACAAAGACCCCAAAGGAATGCAGTATTGGGTGGTAGGTGAGAAATCATTGCTTTTACCTCCACGGCGCTGGTATGCAATCAGAGCTGCAGGAAGCCAATCAGGAGGGCTGCAAACCCTGGTCAGCCTCAAGTCACTCTGCAAACCACCAATAACACCACCTCCCAACACTGCTGTAAGGCAACTGTATGAACTAACCCCCATTTCCACACCTCTAGTTGCCAAGAGAAACGCTTTTCATAATCATGCTGGTTGTGAAGTACACAGCTGCTCAATTTTACTTGCACTTTTAACATTAAAGAAAGCAGAATAAGGGTGGTGAAATTTCCTCATGCACAACAAAGCAGGCTGGAAATTTGTGACTAAATACCGGTGGGATTTGCAATTCGGCTTTGCACTGTGCAACAAGGAACCACTGGTGACAATTGTCTGCTCGCTATTTTTAGCTGGGCAGCATGAATGCTGAATCCCTGAGGAAGAAGGACAGCAGCAAAAACAACAAACCCACAAGACTTGCTTTTCAGAGAACTCATCTGGGGCAGAAACAAGAACTTTGGCTTTCACCTCTGCTGTCCACTTTTCTGCAGATTTTCTGCACCAGGTTTTGACTGTTGCAGGAAATAAATATACAGGATTGTAGAAATCAGTGCTTCTAAGGATGGATGGATAAATATATATGAATGTGTGGTATCTGCCTATACACACAGAGATATGCATAAATATTTCAGAGTCCAGATTTAATCAAAGTGCACTGATTTTCCTTAGTTAACCACTTTGAGAATTAATGATTTTGCATCTGTGCCATGAGGTGGACAAACTTAAATAATGCACCAGGGAGCTCAGGACTGTTAAAGTTTGTCCTGTCCTTATCAGTCTGGGGGGAAAAGATCTAGAATTTCTTACTGTACCATTTCCAAAATGCCAGCTATGCAATCTGATCACACGCTATCGCCACGCTCTCGATTGCAGAAGCAGGCACAAACTTGCATTGCCTGCCCTCCACTGCAGTGTTAAGCCAAGGGTGTTCGGCCTTTCTGAAGTTTCTGGAAGAGGGTGTACAAATCCTGGCACTCGCTGTTTGCTGTAGGCAAGCCTGTGTTTTGGGCTATAAGGTCTAAGTGTTCAAGGTGATCAAGGTGCAAGGAATGATCATCTGCAGGACAGGAGGAGACTCAGGGTGACTCTGAGTATTTCCATTCTTCTTTATTGACTGCACCGATGGCTCAGAGAGACTGGTCTCCTCACCTGGCACTGCAAGCCAGCTGGTGTGAATGCTCTCTCTTCTACAGCATTAGCAGATATTAATACCACAAACCTTACACACGTGCAAAGGTTCTCTGCTGCAAAATATTAATTTCTACTTCAGGAATCATCTGGTTTTAATATCTGATGTGTGTAAGAACATTTGCCTCCTAGATCTACAGAGGAAGCCAGCTAAGAGGGAAATGTTCTCTGCTTGTGCTCACCATGCTGGCACAACTGGAGAGTTAGAAGGAAAAAAGGGACAGATTCAAGGTCATGGCTCATAGCAAGGTGTAAGAGCTACCAGGGGAGTCTCTCAGGGTGTTGTCTCCATTGGAGTGGCCAGGGCTGATACCACATTGCTGCATCTCCAGCCCTGGCATAGGGCTGTGTTTCTCTACTGCTCTACCAGCATTAATTAAGCTGACAAAAGCTCTAGCAACACCCATTTGCAACATTCACACTGTCAGTGTTAAATGAACCCAAAAGAGCAAAATTTGCAAAGTTATATGGAAGTGTTGAAATGAGGTTGAAAAAAAAACCCCGAATAGGGAACTGCATCATGCCCACAATACTCTCCTCCTCCAAGTACCATGCTTGTTACCAGTGGCTGAGTTGAATTCGATCTTCTTCCCACAGTTTGACATGCAGAGGATAACACTGGAAGAGCTGAAACACATCCTCTACCATGCCTTCCGGGATCACTTAACGATGAAGGACATCGAGAACATCATTATCAATGAAGAGGAGAGTTTAAATGAAAACTCTGGCAACTGCCAAACAGAGTTTGAAGGTAAGAGAGAAAGTTTCTGTGTTTCTGTATAATTATTCTCTTTCTGCTTTGTCTGTGACAGGCAATGGGCAAAGATGCATGGAGTTAGCATGGAGTTATTTTAGAGTAAGTAGCAATGACACACTTAGAGAGATGAAGAGCTGCCGTTACGCTTCTTCCATGTGGTCTAAGTAAAGCTGATCCTGTTTGAGGCAGGAGGATGAAGTAGTGGGTGCTTTGAGTGATGTCCCTCCTTTCTCTGATGGGTTTTAGGCAGAGGGATGTGCAGCCCATGATGAGGTGAGTGTCTAAGACAGACTGAATTTCCCTACAGAAATATTCATACCTCATCCTACCACGGAAAGGCCTTACCGGCACTGGGTCCTGCCCTAGCAAACTGTGTTAGGCTCCACCAGTTTTCTGTTGTCTTTCCATAAACAGAAAAGATCTTCTGCTCTGGGCTCCCAGGGGACAGCTGGGGAGAGTCCTCTCTCTGCATTGCAACACCAGCAACGAGCAGAAACGGTGCATCTGCACCCTACTGCCCTGTGCACCTCTTGTTCAGCACTGTTGAGACCACTGGTGTGGAGCTGCAATATGCTGCACAGGTACACAACAGGACAGCTCATCTCAACACATGGGAGAGTGTCTTCAAGATGAAGGTCTGAGCAATCCTCAGAGGTAGCTAGAGAAAGGAAACATTTGCTTCAGCAGCCGTTGCTTAACACAGCATCCTTCTGGCAGTGCCACAAGACCACTAAGTGGTCAGCAAACGGGATCAGACACAGCCTCAACTTTTACAGTGGATTTTGCGCTTTGAACAGAGCTAAAACTGGCAAGAACATTCCCCATTTTAAGCCACCTCGGGAGAAGGATTTTCTTGGCCAGAGGAACTTGTGCTGCTCCAAAACATTGCTGGTCGGTACAACTAAACAGATACAAATAATCTCAAGTGCAGAAAAGTCCAGGGAGATACCTACAGAGAACCTCAGGGTTTGTGCACGTCACCCTGGGACAGCTACTGTGCTTTCCCACCTACAGCAATGCCACTCTGTATAGGTCATGTTGGGGGAAATTCTTATACTCTGAGGGGTCAGATAGCCTCTGAAAAGGCACTAGGCAGAGACACTGAAGCGTCTTTAAAACAAAGCAAAAGATAAACATATTAGTGCAATTCTCAGCCTGACTAATTAATGGGATTCAGCAGTTATATCCAACACACTCACCCTCTGCTAAATACTGCAGAAAAGATGTAGACAAGCACAGCTGAATTTTAAAAAGCCTGCAGGAGGGAGGCAAGCAGCAACGCTCTTCGAATCAAGCCAAGCAACATTTTTTTGGTTCCTCCTGAAGGAAGAGATGCTTACTTACATGAATGGAGTTGTTAGTCCCCACTGACCTGCTGATTCAGTGGAGACATGCGCCAGCTGTCACCACGGCGAGAGGCATGCAGGCTTCCTTCAGCTTCAGTACTTGGGTGAACTATCCCAGTCGCAAAAAAAAAAAAATGGGTCCGAAAACCTAAATGCTCAGCATCTCGTTTTGGAAGTCCCAGCTTCCAAAAGTACAGCAAGAACAGCTTTTCTCGTGGGATGTTGGCATTGCTGGTGCTAGGCAGAACCTAGAAGCAAAACAGACCCGTTTTTAGATGTTGTTAGAAACACACACACACACACACGCACAAAGGCACCAGAGAATAAAGATCAACTGAACACTGTCAACAAAAATACAAAGTTTTGCTTCAGGTCCCAGAAGAAGGGGACGGTTCTGGTCCATGGCAGCTCATGAGCATTTCTCCCAGGAAAGGCAGGCTGAGAGCAGGTTGTGTCCCTGCAGCTCTCCAGGCTGGACATGACCCTCTTGTGCTCTCTGCATTCCCACTTCCCAAATACTGAGATCCCTACAGGGCTCAAGAGTAGAAATTATAGGGCCTCGTGGCATGGATCAATGGCACTAAGGGAGAGCTGTCATGAAGGCTGAGCAACAGCTCAGTCTAGCTTTAAATGACTGTACAGAAGTGTCTCCATGTAAGTCAGTCACCCTTTACTCACTCCTTAATTAGTGTGGTGAAGGAGATGCTTTTTTGGTATAATTCCTCAAGCTTATTTTAGGTGCTACCTTGGGATGAGATTAATTGCTCCTTAAAAAGCACCTATTTCTTTCAACTCTAAAGGTAGCCTAAAGGGACTAGCTTAGAGGCTCACATCTATATTTAATGTACATTTCATCCATGTTACTGAAGTGCCTTTAATTATGAGTAGGAATGAAGCCATGATGAGCCCCAATGGTTTTTACTGAGATTGGGGAATGGCTCCTAAGGGAAGAGACATGGCAGATACATTCAGTACTACCTTGCTGAAATGGGGGATCTCCACACTCTGTCACCTCTGCTTATGTTCTTGCCATCAAAGAGAAGCCCCAAACACCTTCTCCGTCCTGTGGACAGAGACATCCCCTGTTCTCCACACCTGGCGTTAGCTGGCTCAGCCCCAACAGGTGCTAAGCAGCACTGTACAAGTAACATCTCCATCAGTACAAATACGTGCAAATTTCTGTCATTCTCACAATTTTGCCATCCTGGCTTCTTGTCATAATAAGGTCTTTACAACTATGTAATGTTCTTCCTATATCAACATGGACAATATACCTTATCTCTCTCCCACACTCATATACACACAAAGCCACACATGCGCTTTAACCCAAACACAATATTCATATTATGGTCACGGACAAGTTCAGGATTTTGTTCAGTTCACTCTGAATGTTAGAGTCATTTGCAAGACATCAGATCTAGGCTTACATTACAACTTTCCCTCCTACGCATTTGTAGGGGGTTTCATTTTCCTTCTTGATGAAGAGGAAAGCAATGAAAATGCCCATACTCCTCAATACAAGCAGCCCACACCAGCCCCACCGATAAAAGAATACAACCAGAAGGGAGGCACGGTTATGTCTTCAGCCTTTCTTCAATTTTTATTAATGCTTAGGGCAGGAGAATGAAGTTGAGAGACAAGAATAGTGTATGTTTTTATGAGAAGAGACACAAGAAAATGACAACTGTTTGCAGCGACATTGTACTACCAAAATTTTACAGTACAAAAATCATTTGTCTTGCAGTTCCCTTTATTTGAACACTTACAACATTAAGCTTGTGGCAAGCGAGTGCTGGCTGGTTACGGTGACCCATGCCATCTGCCACGGGTATTTCATCCTGAGCCCTGACACTCAAATTAACTGGATGCACAAGAGCTGCTGCAGCTCCCCTCCCTGCTCCCCCCAGACGATCACTAGGAGAATTTGCTCTTCAGCTAAGGGCTTGGGAATGAAAAACTGACCTCCTAAAAAGAAAATAACTCCCTCCAACAGGAGAAAGCAAATATCACTCACCTTTGACAGGGTTATGACAGAAGCCACTGTAAATACACTGTGACTATTCATGTTAGCAAGCCTTTTTCTGTAGGCGAGAAGGCTCTCAGTGCTTACCCTGAACATCTCAAACCCACTGTGGGTTTTGTGACCAGCCCAGCAGCCACAGCCAGCGGATTGATGAACCCTGAAATGGGCTGGACCCTTTAACTTCATGTCCTAGTGGAGAAGTTGGTAGCTGTGTCTCTTTCACTAGTGACAGCATGGTGAGTCCTCCTCGCCAACCTGTCCTCTGCATGTTAAGAAGATGAAGGATGACCCAGTCTTGATTTACCTTTGCTTCTTGAGATCTCATTTACATTGGACACCTTGTGAGTTGCTCTGACCCCTAAGAAGGGGCCGGGACATCTCGACAGAGGAGCTTCAGGCTCTGACCATGTTTAAGGAACCAGCTCACGTCCAAACCCTGGCATGTCCCATGGGTATTAAAAACTCCTGCTGGCAACCAAATGCAAAACAGATCAAGCATCCAGCCCTGTGACAATGCCAGCTGTGGAAACCAGCAGGAAAGAGCACAGATGCCATGCTCAAAGGATCTATGAATTTGGAGAAAGGAGAGAATTGAGGGCAAAAATTCACCAGTTAGCAGGGAGGCAAATGGGTCTTCATATTTAAGAGGGCAGTTCACAGGGCAGCACGTAGTTGTGTTCACAGTGACGAAAGTCAGAAATTTCAGCTTGTCTCCCTGTGGATTGCAAGGGGGCAGAGGAACTACAGTACTCATTTTCTTGCTGGACTAATTCCTCCTGAGCCCCAACCAACTGCAAGAGGGTCTCTCTGGGTCTGCGAGACCTCTGCATTTCAGCATAGACCTTTCCCTTTTCATCTGGAGTTATCTGGTAGGTTATTTGGCTGTTTGGTGTGCCCTCAGTCGGTAAACAAAAATAATGATGTCTTACCTGGCTCCTCCTGCCTTAAAGCTCCATTTTTACTTGATGGTATAACAGAAGAATGAAGAAATTGTTCAATTCAGGAACACTTCTGCAAGAAACACTGAACATGCTTTACTCTTTTCCTTTGAATAGGAGAGTTGCCATCACAAAAAGCCTTGGCTGCTCTTTGACTGCTGCTCCCAGTCACTGTAATCAGCACCAGAGTCCCACACTGAACGGCAATGCTGACTGTGATGGTTTGTGTCACTGTTTTGTCTGCTAGCTGGGAGTGTTTTCAAAGTACAGAAAATAATAGAAAAATAAATAAAGAAATAACTAAAGCTGTGATTTAAAAAGCTTTTCAGAGTGCCAGGGCATCATGCACAAAGCCAAGGAACCACAGTATTGATTCTGTGTGCATTATAAAAGTGAGTGAAGGAATCAAGGAGTAGAGCAGTGCAAGCAGAAAGTAATTTAGGCGAGCTGCCATAAGGGGGGTTTCATTATCTGCACAGAATATAGCGAGTCCCTTGCAGTGCTGGGAGTGCAGCGTTTCCCTGGGCAGTCTGACTCAAAGTGCTGCCTAACGAGGGCTTCTGGTGCCTCCGGCGCTGAGCTGATGCTGGGGATGTGTGGGAGCTGGGATTAGGACACAGGCACTGCTAAATCCTGGCCGAAGGAGATGAGGGGGGTGGGGGGTGAAACAAGTGTTCAAAATGCAGCATCAAGAGCTCCCCACTCTCTGTGCAAGAAGGTTCTAAGCCTGGATCAGAACAAGGGTTTTTTCCATATATTCTAAAAACATTCTTCTGGACTTTTCCAAACATGGGCGCTTGGAGCATTTTCCTGGTCACATTTTAGCGTTTTTGTAATTCTGAGCTTGTTGTCAACTATCTGAAAGTCTCCCATCATTGCAAGTCAATCCATGAGAAAAAGGAGATGGGTACATCCCTTCTCAGGCCAAAACAAGACTACACATTACCACCCATAGCGGCAGGGCAGACATATCCATCTTGTGCGTGAGGGTCTTCTGGCTTCCTGTGATTATTTTGGGGGACCTTCAAGGCCTTTTCAAACAGATAAAGCTTCACAGTACACCAATACCAGATATTATTCTGATACTCATAGGTAGGGAGACTAAGACAGACATGAACTGGTTTTAGCAAGTCACGTCATGAATCCTTGTTGATGAACTGGAAAAAAAAAAAAAAAATCAAACACTAAAAATCTCAACTTTTTCTGCATTTTAACTGTCACAAATTACTCTCACCTCTTTCAACAATTATTCTACAAGCATTCATTTGAAAAGGTTCTTAATAATTCTGATTTTGATTAGGCACAGAAAAGCTTAAGACAGTTTGGAAAAATGACTAACATACTGTGCATACTCATGGGAACTGTCACAGTGGGCTTTTTAAGCACTGTTGGAGACCACATCTTGAATCTCTGCTCATTCCCAGTTGTCCTGGATGAGTCTAAGGGATTCACAGAAGACCAATATTTCCAATTAGAGAACTTTAGAGAGACCTTCATAAAGAGCTTAAAAGAAATACACAGATAAACTGAAACACACCTACAAGCATTTGAAGGGGTAAAAGCCAAGATGAGAGAGAAAGGACTTCCTGCAGTATGAGAGGGTGGTCTATTAGGAAAGTTGGTTTGGAAGCAATAAAAGGTAAGGTGGATTATTTGGAAATGTCCCAGCAGGGAGTGGTAAGACTTGGCCAACGCAGGGGATCTCTGAGGTGTGGACTAGAGGGTTCTGCCAAGGTAATAATCAGAGGCAAAGGAGGATTTCTGATCAAAGCTGATCCTGGTGGAAAGCAAAAACGTTGCTGTGGCCGATCTCATCTTTCCCATGTCTTCCCTGCAGTGCACGCCCAGAAGCAGAACAGACAGACCTGCGTACGGAAGAGCCTTATCTGTGCATTTGCCATGGCCTTTATTATAAGCGTGATGTTGATTGCGGCCAACCAGATCCTGCGGAGCGGCATGGAGTAGCCTCTCGCCATGACACTGTGAACCAAACTGACCATGCATGCGCATGCCACCGGGTGAGCTTCCCCCGGACCGACTCTCACACGGCAAAGAGACAGAGGCAGGCAGATAAAGCACCATTCGACAAGGAGCCTGAGGCCAGCAGCGTAATGTGTCTTGTGAATCAACTACATCCTTTTGGCAGGGACATAAAAGGGCTGTCTTAATGCTTTAAAGGTTTTGTTTCCTAATGCAATAAAAAAAAAAAAATATACAGGAGTCCCGAATTATTGCTTCAAAACAGCAATGGTAACTTGGAAGAAACTTTCATCCAGCAGCCTATTTTGCAGTTTTAAGGAGGCACAGCCTCATGACTTATTGCAGCAGGGCTGTCTTTTAACCTAGGGGCCGACTGACTATTCTGCGTAGCTCTCCGCTGGGCCCACATTCCCAGGAAGTTGATCGTAGCATTGCCACAAGCAAGTTCTGTTCGTTTTGTTTCATGTACTCCAGGTTCACTTTGTTTTTCCCTTATGACCATGCCTTTGAGTTCACGGCATTAGAGGGGAGCTAGAGCATCCTTGTACAGTATTTTCAGAGTAAAAAAAGAGGAGAATTTGCCAGCATCATACAAAATTACTATTTTTGCTTCATAAACGCCGCCTTTGACACAAGACTGTGGGGTAGCATGAGTCTGTTTGCCATTTTTTTCCGACCGTGAATCAGGGCTTGAGAAGCACCACATGTTTTCACACATGGGCATTTCTGAAATTTGTGCACAGTCTTCCAACCGACTCTGCAACCACCAGCGCCAGTTAAAACTCCCTCTATTTGGTCCTGTCTGCATATTCAACAACATTTGCTTTCCAGCAGTTTTGCCCTTCTTCTATATTGGTCTTCAATAACTACATCTGACATGAAAATCCTCCTCTCTCCTTGCCTGTGCAATTTTTATTTATCTCATTTCATATGCCCTGGTTGTAATCTGCAGCAAAACGTCCGTGTCAGACACCGTCTCATGGGAGAGGTTATACTTTTGCCTGCACAGCAGTGTGTAGTTTTGACCAGCTCCAGTCCCTCCCAGGAGCTACCACCACCACCACCACCACCGTCCCACGGGCAGGCTCCAAAGGGGGTAAGCTGAAAAGCAGCCTGCAACAGGAGAAGGAACCAAACTAGAGCCTACCGCCATATGTTACGTAGTGTGTCAGACTTTCAGATCCTGCAAGTGCTAGTTATTTTTCCTGGAAGAGATTTTAATGAGCAGCAAGGAGAAGACAGAGTGATGCAGACTAGAGACACAACACGTCCTATTGAAAGCACAAGGTCTGGGCAAGCCTGGAGCCAGGATTACATCGGAAAACATTTTTCCTTTTAAACTCGATGCAAATCCTTGCATTTACCTTTGGATGAACTGTGCACCTGTGTGTCGTCCCAGGGGAGATCTGGTTTCCTTGCCAGATGGGAGAAGTTTCCCATCTGGTGCTCACGGAGCCAGCACAGGGAGCACGCCTGGGGAGGTCCACGGAGGCACCCAGGCATTGGAGTTGCAGTGGCTTTGCCCTGCCAGCTGGGCAAGCTCCAGAAACACCAAGGAACAGTGAGATCTTGCTCCTGTAAAAGTAGATGACTGTTTCCCATGTCACGAGAGGGGGCAGGTTGGCTCCCCAAGGGATTGCAAACCATGAGCTTCCCTCCTCCCACACAGCAGCCATCGGCTTAAGCCTGGATCCATCCCAAAGACTCATTTCAGGTCTTTCTTTGATTACAAGTTTGATTGATAACATTTAACCTGTATTTTTTTAGCAGCCTGATTGGAAAATTTGCTTCTCATTGTTCTGTCTCCTATCACCCCCTTTAAAAGCATGTCACTGCTTTGGAGTTTGCCTTTAGGTGTGTGTCTCAGTCACCCACCTCCACATCATTGCCATTTTCCTGATGCCCCCTCCATCACTAAAAACAACAGCCATCTTTTCCAGAGCAGCTGAGTTATTTTTTTCTGCCTTTCACAAACACACACTTCTGTATTTCTGTTCTGCTGTGACTAATACAGGTCAACTGCAAAATATGCCGCAAAAATTGTTACATCTCCCAGAAGATGGAGAGATTTATGTTTGCTATAGGGCAACAGCAGACTTCAAAACAACAGCATAAAATCTTAAGCAAGCTCTGAACGCAGAGTTGGCACCGCTGGGGAGCCAAGGCGTGCTCCCAGCACTCGCTGCGCTGGACATTGCAGATAACGAGCTTTGAGATCATTTTAAGGGAACTGTCATCCACATTTTTAGGTCTCAACAGCAGAAACACGGGGCAGAGCGTCGCCTCTTCACTGAGCCCAGAAACACAAGCTAAAACATGTAGACCAGGCATTTATCCACGTTCTTCTCACTCATCTGACAGCTAATACCAGGCAGACTCCAATTATAAGAGCTGCCTCACAGATGAGATGACCTTTTGCATTCCTTTAAGCTTTCTGGAAGGCTCCATAATTTCTACATGCATGCTCCATAAAAACCTTTGTAAATACATTCATTTTTCAGTATAATTCTTCACCTTGAAACTCCATTTATAAAACCAAACCTATAATTAATATATTGGTAAAAGCCATAGCCTGGTGTCAGTAGAGTTCATTGCAAAACTCCCCACTGATTTTACTGGGTACAGGATTTGGGGGGGTTTGGGGCTTGATTTTTCTGTAGGGAATCCAATTTATCCATTATGAATCGGTGTCATGTCTTGCCAGTGGTCTCCTTTTCCTTCCTAGAGCAGCCTTTCTCCATCTAAAGGTGTCTTGAAGAGATCTCTTCTTTAGTCAGTCCGGTTCTTCTGGTAGCTAGTGGCAATGCAGGATGGATCAAGCCAAGCCATTTCATCATTTCCTCTCCCCACAACCTTTCTACCGACACCTTCCCATCCTTCCTAGCCATCAGCATTGGACCTGTATCTCTTACCTACCTCCCTGGCTCCATTTATGTAACATCCATTTATCTTGTCTTTTTTTTCTTCTACACAAGAAGGAAAAAAAGGGGGTTTTTGTTGCTTTTACAGACAGTAGGTAAAAATAGAGCAGTAAAATTTTGATTGGAACCTGATGGCAAAAGCTTAGGGGGAAGAAAGCAGAAGAATCAAAGAAATAAAAATAAAAAACCCCACATCCCATACTTCAAGGGAAAAAAAAAACAAAAAAAACAAAAAACAACAAAAAAACCCCACTATTTAAGTGCTAATTAACATACTTTAAAAAATACCCAGACTGCAGCAGTGCTAGGTAGAGCTGTCAGAAAAAGCACTAAACTTATGCTCTTGCCAGTTACATGAGAATTTAAGTGTCTTTTCAGCACTGCAATTCTGTATGAAAAGGATATTGCTATGGCAACCCTCGCTGTTCGTGACATGTGTGCCACCATGTCGGAGCGACACGCAGCAATTGCAGACGTGCTCCTGGTCAAACCAAGGATGGACAAACAGCTCCCAGCAGCCCAGGACATCGTTTCAGCTTGTGGATCAGCAAATTATTAGCAAACTGTGAGCACCCTAAAGACAACTCTGTTGCCTTAGCCACAAAAAAATGTGTGCAATTAAACGGATTGACATGTAGGGAAGGCTTCAAGATGGACATGATTATTTTAGCTTGAGAGAGGCTTTGGTTTAGTTTTGGTGCAAGTGAAATCAATGCAGCATAAGCACTGCTCAACAAAGGCTGTCCTGTGCTTGTCAGGGACACTTTGGGCAGGTCTTTCATGGAGGGATTGATCTCTGATGGGAAGGATTTGGGTTACTGCTCTTGCAAGGCTCTGGGCTGCATCGCTGATAACCATTGGCTTTAACTTTGAAGGCATATCCTGATTTTCTGCTCCTGGAGAGGCCAACAAGGGAATTTCAGGCACATGGCATGCTGAAATACTTTGGAGGCCACAGAGAGGTGAATTCCAGCAAAATCTGCTGAAGGAACATTGCTTACCTGTCAGGTCCAAAGCCATACCACAAGGTCAGCCATGAAGAAAGCCACAGCTGAGGAGTAACCAGGCAGGACAAGTGCATCATGGTGGTGGCACTCCCTCAACGAGTCCACCACTGAGAAGTAATTTCTAGTCAGAAGCAATATCAACAGTAATTTAAAGAATTAAACAGGGTGGGCAACTGGGAAAACTTGACACTTTTTATGGAGAATCTAGTCCTCATGCTGTTGGAGTTCATACAGGATGAAAGAGAGTCGACAGATAAATTCTTTTTCATGTTTGATGGATACCCACAAATATGCTAGTTACTGTTAGGAGACACCCTGTCCTGGTGAAAGTGCTCACAGACCCCCCAGGACAAGGGTCACCTGTGAGCAGAAGAGTGGGAGGCGGTAGGAGATCCAGCTACCTGCTGCTGATCCTGCTCCCAGGTGAGCTACAGCTGAATATTTGGGCATCATCTGGTGACTTGGAGAGATTTCATACAGACTATTCAGTGGTTATCGGGGGCTCACATGCTGGATACGATGCACTGGTAGGGGTGGATGTTGGTTGCTTTATATGGGAGACTTCCATCAATTTTGTAAAAGAAAAGATGTGTACCTCTTTAAGTTGGGGCCAAGTAAATGGGTTTTTTTGGTCCTTCTCCCATAAGAAATAGGATAGCAAGCAAACAAATCAAGAGAAGGCAGAGAGCATTCCCAAGCCTACTACTCTGGATGGCTGGAGACTGTTTGACAGACTTGGATGAGCGAAGTACCTACTGGCAAACATTTTATTCCATGGAAAGCATAGGAAAATTCTTTAACAAAAGCCACACTTCATCTTTCTGCCTGCTGCAGAAGACCAAAATATCTCCTGGGACACCAGAGGACTGTGATGGCTGTCCGAGGTCCAGTGCTGGCTCTGCTCGAGATGACACACTGCTTTGCGAGGTGCCTGGTACAAAGAGACTCTCAGCTTTTTCCACGAAAGACTCTCTCCCCCCTGATCATGCGTACGTGCACAGAGCAAGCAGTGCTGCAAAGGGTTGTCAACGCACAAAAGCAAGAGGTGCACAGTCCCGAGTCAGACTTAGATCTGCGAGGAGAGAAGCAGTAGGAGGAATACATTAAGATCACCAAGAATGAAGTTCCCTATTTTATCCACTCGTGTAATAAATTATTTAGTTTCTGCTTTATGGATGACTATTTGAAAGAAGAAAAACCAACTCTTCTCAAATGAGAATCTGATGAAGTATCTTTTTTCTTGGCTCTGAATCATGCTTACATTCCACAGATGAAGATGTACAGAACTTGCTGGTTTTCAATCTATTATTTTACTGCACTATGTTCTGACAGTGCAATTACATTTCCCTGGCATCACTTAAAACCTATTACTTTCCCAGGAATTTAATACAGAAAAAGAAAAGGCTCACAACATTTTCATCTCTATATATTGTCGGTTGTTATCAGGACTGGATCTTGTTTTTTTCCAGTTCAGATAGGACATTTTAGGCAACTCTAGGAACTGTAGAAGCTTCTCCAAGAGCAAGATGGACAGAAAATCTGACAACATCATTTTAGTTGGAAGAGTACTCGACTCCTCCCTCTTCAGTGGCAAAAGTCTGAAAAACTGCCTCAGTTTGGCATCTTCACTAGGAAAGAATTTCAGCCCCAGAAGCGAGGAGAAGAGGGAGAAGGGAGAAAAAGGAAATCCTCTGGATCTAAAGATTGGTACTTGACAATTTGATGATGAATATACCACAGGTTTTTTTAATTTTCTGTCGAGACAGACCAAAATACTTTGTAGCCTTGAAGAGCATTACTAAATGAAATTGCCATTTTCCAACCAATTATTTTCTACAGCTGTTCATGGCCAGTCTTTGCCAGCATCATGAATAAACCCCTTCAAACACAGCTATTTTTATAATGCTTTAGGTGAAATCCATAATATGACTTTCCTTTATCAGCTGGTGTTCTGTCTTCATCAGCCAACAGGTAGATATTTGACCATTCCATCTGAAGCTGTTGAGCTTGTTCTAGTAGGTACTGCTCTGGCTTTGCCAGCACTCAGGCATATCTTGTCTCTCTTGTGAGCAGTCCCACTAAACCCAAACCATACAGCTGATGTGTCTGCAGCATCAGGCCCCTGGGGTTGCCATTTGACAGCAATCTTCAAATAAATGCCTCTACATTCATATTGCACCAACCCAAGAATGGTATTACATTTCCTACCATCTCTTTCAGAGGAGCCAAAGTTATTTCAACTTCATGCAGCAGCTCTTGTTTTCTCAGATTTTAATTGGGGTGGGGACGGAAGAGAGCTGAAATTCCTCTTGGATTCAAGGGTAAATCAGAAGTAACTCATTAGAGTTAATTGGCTTAAACTGGAATAAGCCCAGAATCAAGCTTGTTGCCATTTAAGCCATACTAGGATCTAAGTAATCAATGCCTCCTGATTCATCTCTAGGAAGTTCTTCACTAATACATGCATCTCCTTTTTGTCATTTCATCCCTCACTGTTTTCAAGCCATTTACTATTCATTGTTAAAAACTGACTATTTTTTGCTTGTTAATAAAAGACATGACATTGTAATTAAAGACGTCAACTCACAAAGTCAGCAGCATAATGGTAAAAACAAAACAAAACAAAACAAAACAAAGTTTGTACAAAATACTGTAAATATTAATATAAATTAACTTGGCATGCAACTTAAATAACTCCTATGTTACTGCAAGTTACCCGAGTGTATAAAGACGTGTATAAAGGAAAACTGAATGCCATATGTATCGGCTGTTTCCTCTAACCAAACACTACTGTAAATATATAATCTGTATAAAAATATTTTAATTTTACCATTATTTATGCAATAGGAATAAAGTTTTTTTCTTTTGATGAGAGATGAAGTTTCATTTTTCCTCATTTTGAAGCAGTCATTGATATTTATACATGCCCAAGTACAAGAGCAAAAGCTAGCTTTGCATAAAATATTAGGACAGAGACCCTTTCTTCCTTCTGAGGGAAACATGAACATTTGGGGGTTTTGTTTTCCTTTGAAAATAGATTTACATATTTTAAAGCCTGTTACTACAGATAGAGCTCCTGGCTGAATAGATGCCTTGACTGTTCAGAGCTGGGATCAGCGCTTTGAGAGCAACACAGATGCGCAGGACTCATCAGCATACCAAAGAGAGGAATTGAACTTCTCTTCTGGAAGTGGAAGTCAAAGCCACAACTGGTGTGGTTGGTGGGCACCGCATGCAGATCTCAAAGAGAAAGGTCACACCGTGCCATGTGCTCTTTTATGGAACTTACTTAAAAACTCAAAACCCGAGAGAGTCAGAGCCTGTTTCCCTGAGATCAGATGGGCTTCGGTCCAGCGTGTTGCTGCTGGGAAGAGAACGTTGACCACAGATTTTAATCCTGTCTCTTCTACTGCCAAGGCTCCATACCACGAGAGCTGTTCTGTGAGGCTTAACTACACTTGTGTGTCCTGAAGAGCAGCTGCTCCCTTAGCAAATCCAGATCTCTTCATTTCACTGTAGACCGTTCTCCACAGTGTCCACCACTCCATCATGTCCTGCAAGCTGTTTGGCTGGAGAAGATGAGGATGAGGTTAATGATTGTCCCCAAAATTTTTTGTAGTGGTGTCTAAATTAAAGCTCAAAAGGAAACAGCTGATGTAGAGAAATAGTCTTCGCCCAGGTAGACCCAAGTCACAGTGGTAGGACTGCTGGGACAACCAGCAACCCCCAAAACTCCTACCATGCCCATAGGTAGACTACCACCTCTACCTTGTGCTTGGAAAGGAGCTGTGATGCAAAAATAGCATTTCTGATTTCGTCATTTAAACTCTGAAAAAAACGAGTGGTTTTCCCCAGGCAGTGATATATATCACACTCCATTTCATGGGCTCACATTATTTATTAATTGCACCCATTTGGACAACAGCCTCAGGGCTCAGATACTGTTCCTTATTTCTGGAATCATCACAACTTTCAGTATGAGCAATTGTCTATGCATGGATTACCACTGACTAACAAGAGAGGCAGAAAACATGTTTACAAAATTTGTGTTTTAATACTTTAAAAAAAGGTACTGTACACTCTAGTTGACATCTTACGTTAAGTAACTGGAGAGTGTTTTAATGAGTGTCTTAGGAATGAATCTGAATTCATTACAGAAATGAATCAAATGTATAGTAGGAGTTCCTATATATTTATCACAGGATCAAATGAGCAATTGAAGAAATTCTCTACTGGAAAGAGAAACCTACACCTCACAGCTCTCCTTTGAAAACAATGTTCTCATGCAGATCATTGCATTTAGTGTCCCCAATGAAACCACAGGTTTGTACGTTGTATTTCAGCCACCAAGACAATTCAGAAATAGAAATCTGCTGGTGTCACTGCTAGTACATCAGACTTCAGCGAGGATGAGCACTCTGCTGGACAGGTCAGTATGATACCATTGGGAAATCTTCACTGACTGCAGAGAGAAAACAAACTTTAAAAGAGAAAAACACACCACATTTGGACTGAGACCAAACTGCTTTATCCCACCATAAAGAGCCCACAAACATGACCACTGTTCCAACTCCAACAAAGCCTGTTTAGCTCTTGTGTTATTTTAATGCTCTCCATACAGCAGAGAAATAAAAGTGAATGCTGCTACCCCAAAGGCCCATCCTTCAGCTATGCCCCAACGGGAGGTTTCGGGTGCCTGCTGCTGAGGGAATGGGCAGGAACAACTGCTCGGGTCTTATCCAGCTCCCGGGGAGTCAGTGGAAACATTCCCAGACTTAGTGGGATTTGGATTAGGTCATCATACAGCACAGTATTTCACACCCTGTCTCTTTGCTTTGTTTAAATGGAGTCTGGCCAAGGCCTCAAATTTAATTACAGGAATACAAATACTGAAGAAATAAGGCTTTCCTTTTTCCAAATGAAATTCAGGCATGTCCCCATCTAAAACCTCTTGCCATGACTGGGCTCCCCAAGCTCAAAATTCCCAGCAGACAGTGTCTTTGGTTAGACACAATACTTACCTCCAGGTAGGTGCACTCCGCCCATGACCCTGCAGACTGGTTTTGCCACTACAATCTCACCCACTCAATACACACTCCTTCCTGATTAACATCTATAGAAAGTATTTGCTAATGCAAATCCAGAGGCGGTAATTTATTTGATACAAGCTAGTTAATCCTGGCAAGGCTTTCCCGTGTAAGTATAGACTAATATAATCTTGTTTTAATTGCTTCTTTAAGAGTTTCTCAAAAATCAAAAACATTTTAATTAAAAAATTCACCAAGGGTATCTTCCAGATCTTTTTCCATTTGTTCTTCTTCCCACCAAAATTATCAGCACATTTGTAAAGTTCTAAAGAAAGTAATTAGAGCAGATGTTGATTGCTGCTGCTAGTTTTGAGGTTGATGATTGCTACACATCATCTCCCAACTTCTACGTTTTTGCAGCTTTCTGAAACAGAAATTTCCATTCTTGGTCTTTGCTCAAAAAGGACACTGTCTACAAAGGAGCTGGGATGCTTTCACGCCAGCTGCTAAAGCTGAAGAAATCGGGGGGAGTGGGGGGAGAGAAGAGGAAAGAAAGGAGGAGGTACGGTTAAGGAGCTTCTAGGGATGCAGAGATTTGGGCAAGGAACAGTAAGGAATGTCTGAAAGCCATTTCATTTTATCTATAATACCATTTGTAATGAGAAAAGGTCCTGTTCCACCATCACCTCCCCAAAAGACAAGATGATAAATCCACCAGCACATGCGGTGTTACAACAATGTGAAAGTATCAGACTGAAGATGACACGTGCACTCCTACTATGCTGTAATAAATGTCTTTTAACCCCAATTTCTGTCTAGATTTCCACTTGCCTGTAATGAGCTGGCTTTAGAATAAGCTGTCAAAAATAGTTCACCACATAATGACAGAAAGTTGAGATAATCACAATGGGCCATACATGTCACTACAGACAGAAATCCAATGCAACAGTGTAAGCACAAAGCCTGCAACCTCTAGTATGATGCCGATGGTGCAGGCAAGCAAATTTGTGGTATCTTGTGACTACTAAGAGACAGGCCTGCAAAATAATCTGAGGAGCAGTGTCTCCCACCTCTGCTTTGGGCAAGAAAAATAGCATCCAGCAGTGTTCCCTTAAATGCTTGCTTATGGAGGAGTACCTCTAGGTCTGAGCTAAAATTACACACAGAGACAGAGTAAACTCTGGAAGAGGGTCATGTGAAGTTCTGCAAGAGCTCCAGCTCTTCTTTTTCTACATCACAAGTTAGTCTCAGAAAATATTCAGGTCTCTGCCTCCAGCCCAGCAGTTTTCAGCCCCTATCCTTCTGAAGCCATCAGGTCAGATCTGCCAGAAAGGTCCTACTCCACTGGAGATGCCAGAGAAATCCCTTGCAGGTGTACGAACAGGCCCCACATGGCTGGTTTCGACATGTCAAAGTACATCACATCTTAGAGAGCAGAAGCTGTTTTTCTGCAGCGCTGAATTTCACACACACAAATCCTAGGGCAAAACCATGACTCCTGCAAATCCCTGGCATTATGCATCTCTCGTGCAGGCAGGGTCACCTAGCTGTAGCAAGTGGTAGCAAGTGGTGAGGGAGGCAAGGCTCAGCTGTCGTCTCGACTCCTGGTACAACTGCAGGGACAAAGCAGAGTTCTCAGAAGGCACCTCAGCCCCAAGGTAAACGTGACCATGAGCATGGGTGCGACTGAGCCATTTCAAGATTCAACAAGTTGCAGCCTGCAGAGCATTTTACAGAAAGCATTAAAACCTCCTGAAGTGAAGGATTTCAAATGGAGGGGCTGAGAGACCCCTGTGCTGGCAGTACGAACAGTACTGCTATAATAAGGGTAATCACCACATGTTATACGGAAAAACCTCTCAAGTGATTGCTGTTTGCAGAGGCTGATTAAATATAAATTAAACTCATCTGCATGTTCAGCAAGATATGTGAACTGAATAGCAAGAGCATCCTTCCCATTGGCTGCACAGAGTAGTTTGGGGAGCTCATCCCATGGCCTGGCATGTTCGCACACATGGGCTGCTCCACATTTTCTGGACCAGCACCAGCAACCTTGGCATCTGCATATTACTGAAATTAAAAGAACTATGTTCACTTACATAGAGATGATTTCAGATAGAGTATGAACAAACAATTCATTAGCCTCAAGTTGTTTGTGGGGGAAGAATGCAGTTCCCTGTACTGACACTGCCATATTAACAATTACAGCTGCTCGTATTCATTTCATTCAACTTCTCTAAACACCTCTCCATCTTGTGTGCCTGGGTGAGAACGGACTGGACTAGAATAGAATAGAATAGAATAGAATAGAATAGAATAGAATAGAATAGAATAGAATAGAATAGAATAGAATAGAATAGAATAGAATAGAATAGAATAGAATAGAATAGAATAGAATAGAATAGAATAGAATAGAATAGAATAGAATAGAATAGAATAGAATAGTTGTATTTCAGTTGGAAGGGACCTACATCAATCACCTAGTCCAGCTGTCTGACCATTCCAGGGCTGACCAAAAGTTAAAGCATGTTATTTAAGAGCAATGTCCAAAGGCCTCTTAAACACTGACAGCCTTGGGGCAGCCACCACCTCTCTAGGAAGAGCCTTATTTCTAAATCTGAACTATCAGCCAGAGAACCCTGAACTGGTGCCATCTCCAGTGTAGAGTCTGTGGCTGGAGAGCAGCAAGGCCCTCCCTGGTACAGAAGGGATGGGACTAACTCTGAGCATCCTGTACATGGAAGGTATTTGAAAAACCTGTGGATTTCTCCTGCCTCCAACAAGATAGGTCTGCTGAGCCTAGGCTGAAGGTAAGACCCGCTAAGTGAAATGAAGG